GTTCGGGTCCCCGTACGGGGCCCGAACCTGAAGGGGTTCGGACCCCGCCAAAAATTATTTGGGCACCTAAGTATTATTATTTCTTTCTGAAGTTTTTTTCGTGCGTTCTTTGTGATGTAAGGTATGTCCTCCTTAATTTTGAAGCCATTCTGTTCAGCCAAACAAAAATTGAAAATCGGCAAAGATGGTGGTGTCAAGACTTGCTTGCCCACTCACTAATTTGTTTTTTCTCTCTTTTCACTTTTTGTTTTTCCTTTATTTCGGGGCATGAAAAAAAATACTATTTTTTCAAAATTTATTTCTAGATTCTCTATTATGTAAGATACACATATAAAAATTTTCATGGAATTTTTCACAGCCAAAAAAAAAAGAAAAATTGCCAAAGATGGCGGTGCCAAAAACGTGCTCGCCCACTCAATAACTTCATTCTCGTTTTATTTTTTCTGATTTTCATTATTATTATTTATTTTTAGTATTTGATTTTTATTTCAAATTTGGTAACGAATTTGGATGTAACGTTGAGGCAAATGTTGTTTAGTTTCTTCATAACATATATATTGTTTTCAGATTTTTTGAAATTCTTCTTTTTTTTTGGGGGGGGGGGTCCGCGTTCGGCCGAACGGCCGAACGCGTCGAGAGGGGGTGCCAAACGTTCGGGCGTTCGGGTTTGGGCGTTCGGCCTGTCCCGAACACCGGCAACCCGTCAGGTTGAATATTTAAGAACTATTTTGTAATAACTTTTCCGTGTCGGTAACTTCTTGCTTTCTCTTTGTCTGCTTGTACTGTTTGTGGGGGGGGAAGGGGGGGTGGGGGGGGGCGGAAGAAAAAATTGTTGTCCTTCTCTGCGATATGTATGTAGACCCAAAACAAGGACAGGCTTCTCAAATGGAAAATGAAACAGCTGCAACTACTCTCTGACTTGAGAGACAAACTAATGACTTCACCAAGAGGAGTTATGGGAAAACCTGCAGAGCTGGTCAAGCAGCTGGAGGAGAAGGATGTGCACATCCGCTATCTGGAAGGACTCAGGCAGCAATGTGAAAGGCAACATTTAGCCCAACTTGAGAAAGCGAACAAGGTAACGACAAACTAATGACCATCCATCCGCAATGTAAATGTCATTGTGGGTCATTATCACCAAACGTCATCATTATCATCATCCTCATCCTCATCCTCATCCTCATCCTCATGCTCATCCTCATCATCATCATCACCATCCCCTTCACCACCGTCAACCACCACCACGATCATTATCATCATCATCATCATCATTAACCATCATAGTCAACCATCGTCATTAAAATGCATCACAATCATAATCAATATTGCTGTTGTCGTCATCATCATCATCATCATCATCATCATCATCATCATCATCATCATCATCATCATCATCATCGTTGTTGTTGTTGTTGTTGTCGTCGTTGTCATCATCATCATCATCATCATCATCATCATCATCATCATCGCCATCATCATCATCATTGTTTTCATCGTCATCATTGTTGCTGCCATCACCGTCATGATTGTCCTGATCTTTGTCATCATCATTATCACCTCCATCTCCATCACCATGGACAATCATTGTTGTCAGTGTGCTTTGTTTTCCATCATTGTAAACCTTATTACTCTCCTCCTTGCCCTCCCTTCTCCACTTCGTCTCTATCCTCATTGTCCGCCTCTTCTTCTTTCTCTTCTTTCTCTTCTTTCTCTTCTTTCTCTTTTTTCTCTTCTTTCTCGTCCGTCTTTTGCTTCTTTCTCCCTCTCGTCCTCCTGCTATTCGTACTCCTCTTCCTCCTCCCTGTGTTACATGTTGTTGTGCCTGATGACCCAACATGAAATTGATTTTATAGTTCCATTTGAAATGCTGGCACAGTCTCCTCAGTGCCATATTGTTCCCCCTCCCTTTGTTTTGCCTTCTTTTTCTCCCACTGATTCTATGTATCAATTTCTGTACATACCATCACATTTGCAATGTGTGCCTGTAATCACTCTCCTTCATTAGTTACGTCAATGTGTTTAGCTGTGAACAAAAGGAACAAAAAGAGTGAATGCAGCCGCCACAACAAACCTGGCTTCAGTTATGATACATCTTTCTCAGGTCAGGTTTGCTCTCTGTTTGTTTCCAACATGGACCTCTTTCACCTTTCGGTGTTGGTTTCTGAAATCCTCCTCCTTTTCCTCCTCCTCCTCCTCCTCCTCCTCCTCCTCCTTCTCCTTCGCGTTCTCTTTCTCTGACTCCTCCTCCTCCTCTCTCTCTCCCTCCATCCTTTTTTTTTTTTTTTAAGGGAAAGGTTGCAGTTTTATTATCACCGAGGCCGGGAATCCCTCGACATCTCAACCCAGAGAGTGCTGGCTCTGCTGGGGCCATTACCCAGATTTGGTTTGACCTGGAAACCGGGTCCAGCGTCCCCTTGTCTGCAACTTCGACCAAAATCGAAACCGGACAAATAAACGCAAACAGGAATAAAGGAAGAAACAGAGCTGCTGTATCGTTATAGACTGTGTGGTACTCCTGTTATGTCCTCCGCTACCTTCGTTTTTCAAGTCCGTCAAGTTCGTCAACCTTTTGACATCTCCCCATTACTTGTCTCTGATAATCTACAGCTCTTTGATGTAACCTCCATCGTATTCTTTTGCACTTCAGGATTTGGCATTGATGGAGCAGAAACTCAGGAGAGAAAGCCAATTAAGGTGTGAGGCTAATCTGAAGCTTGCAGCTCTGACTGCTGGCCAGGAGCCTCCTTCCAAGGTTAACGATGAGCTGCTGAGGAAGTATGTGGATCTCGAGAACAAGTACCAAACGCTCCTTGTGGAATCGCAGTCCAAGCAGAAGCTGATTGACTATTTCCAAAGCGNTAACGATGAGTACGTTTCTCTCCTCCTCCTCCTTTTCCTCCTCCTCCCTCTCCCCCCCCCCCCCCCCCCCCCCCCCCCCCCCCTTTCCCCCCTCCCCCCCCCCCCCCCCCCCCCCCCCCCCCTCCCCCCCCCCCCCCCCCCCCCCCCCCCCTCCCTCCACCTCCCTCTTCTCCTCCACCTTCTTCTCGTCTCCCTCCGCATCCATTGTCATCCCCTCACGACTGCCGTCTTACCTTTTTTTGCAGGATGTGCAAACACTGATGGAGCAGAAGAAGGTGGAGATGGAGGGGGAGGGGGAGGGGGAGGAGGAGGAGGAGAGGAAGAGGAGAAGGGGAGGAATTGCTTGGAAGATGAACCATGGAGACAATGCCAACAAAACTGAAATGATGCGATCGTCCTCTTACCTGCTTCTGCAGGATTTGGATGGACCACCCACCACCAGTGAAGCTGGAGAAGGTGGGTTTGGTTGGGCAACCAACCGATGGAGCAGAAAAGAGGAAAGGGAAAAAAAAAAAAAAAAAAAAAAAGGTTGAAACTAAGAAACTTGGAATAGATGTGGTTGGAAGTTGGACCATGCAGGGAAAAAAAAAAACCTTCAAAAACACCCATGACTGGAATCTTTCGACTCTGGGGGTGAGGCCGTGAGAGTCTAAGGGGGGGGAGGGAAAGACATGCCACATTGCCAAGGGCAAAACAAACACACGAGTGGAATCTTTCAACTCAAGGGCAAAAAGACGCATGATCAGAATTTTTCAACCCAAGCCTCCCAACCCTCCCAAGGGCAAAAACTTCCAAAAAGCCAAGAGAAAGGAGAAGTTACTACCGTAGTTAGTAACTTACTGAAGGGTTTTCTTTTTTCTTTTTTTTTTAAAACACCCCCGCAAGTGTTAGTGGTGCCGGTGAAGTTACTGCTCATCGGCTTCTCGTCTCGTCATCATCCTTGCCAAGTTGCCCGGCATAGTAATTGGCAATTCCAAATTTGGAATCTATCTGCTCTGCACACTCAGGCAAAGGCTCCCTCCGCAGGCTGCTGAGCTTGGCAGGCACCTATGTTTGGCTTTTTGCAGTGATAAGGGTCAGAAATTCCCTGAATAGAATAAGGGCTGTGTGAGTTGCGTGTTTTGGGGGGTGGGGGGGGGGTTAGAGATGCCAGTCCCCAGTGCGTTGTACATGGTCACATTTTGCACAGTTGCTTTGCTTTGCACGTACGGTCATTACCGGTTCATCCAGACTGAAACTCGCCCCAAGTAGACCAGACTGAAACTCGCCCCAAGTAGACCAGACTGAAACTCGCCCCAAGTAGAACTATAATGACCGTACGTTCTTTTTGCTTTTTCTCTTTTTTTTTTTCGGAGTTATGAGCCCCATCTAGTCTGGGGGGCAGCAGTCCGATTGCTTATCACCGGCAAGCATGGAAGACAAAAGGGGGGACAGCAAGGGAAAAGAGCAGCCTCACACCCCTGTCGCCCTAGACGCGGTGCAAGGGGGGGCTGGGGGGCAGCACGGTGTCGAATGCCTGCATTCCCCCATCGTGGACTCCCATAGTGGCCGGGAAACCTTTGCTCGGTACCCAGATGCACACTACGAGGGTCCAGAGGGGACTGGTTAGGGACACAGCGGTGTACCTCCAGTCACCAGGCCTCCCATTCACGTAGGCGCCCATCAATCGAAGTTCAAGTATGTTATTATTCTCCTTGAACTTCTTATACTACTTATACCTCCCATCTTCAATACTCCTGCCACTTGTGAGCTACTAACCAGTACCTACTTAAACCCTCCCCTTTGACCTTCACACCCCCCTAATCATCAGGGTACTTCCATCCTTTGTTTCTCCGAACATTCGAGTAAGCAAGTAGCCCCATGTCTCAATGATACTATCAATCTCTCGGCTTTCCCTTTTATGTTCCACCCTCTACTCTATCACCTCCTCTCTTCTTCCTAACCAGTTGGGGTGGCCCCCTCTCCCCCTCTCCCCCTTCCCCCTCCTCTCCCCCCTCTTCCCCTACGTTGTACACAGGCCTCTACTCACTACTGCCTATATCTTCCACTAGCTATTGTACAAGGTGACCTAGACCCTACTCCTCCACATCAACTGCATGCTTCTGCAGAGTCGGTCCAAAGACCAGTCTGCCCGTCTCAGGGTCCTTCTTAACCAGGCTTGTGCAAGGAATATGAGCGAGAGCGATAGACCGAAATCCAAATTGCAAAATCACGTAGTAGCCCAGATAGTCATGTACGAAGCAGAGAGCACAATGCACCAAGATACCATCCAAATAAGAGCAATACAATGAACTTGTATGTCAATGTCGACGCTCTCTGGCCACACCGATACAGTATCCAATGTCGCTCCTACTGATTGGCGCCCAGCGCCCAGCCTACACTACCCAGCCTATCTAGCCTATCTACATTCAAGCAACAGGATCACATTGAAGTGAAGACCAATGTACGTGACGTCATCACCAATGCAGACTGCCAGCATATACCAGGTACGTCTCTCTCCTCCCCTCATCACACCCTGTTTCCCCTCTGCGTGTGCCTCCTACCCGAAGACCACCATGACCATCACCATCACTGCATCTGCGCCCCAGCAGCCCAGCTATGACAGCCGTGCGCCCGCTGCCACGGCAGCGCCCCTCTCACCTCTTGCGCCCGTGCGCGCGTCCAGCTTGCCTGCTAGCGCAGCTACCGCATGGCAAAGCAGCAACGTGGCCGCATTGCCTGCCCAGGCCAGAATGCCTTGCCCCTGGGCTTTCACTTTCCTACATGGAACGTGTGCCCTGCGGCCCTGCCGCTGGCTGTTCTGGGCCTGGCGTGTAGGGGCCCAGTAGCTTCAGGTTGGCCCAGAGTGTCTGCGCCCAGGCCCAGTTTCAGATACTGGTCCAGGTAGCCCCCCAGGCTCCAAGTGTTCGCCGCATTCTCATTGGCTCGTGGTAGATGTGTAACGACAATGCTGCATTCTCATTGGTCCACGGCGACTGCGTGATGTGTCGGCCTCCCACTGCTTGTGCCCAACCACCGGAGTCCTGGGCTCAACTGTACAGCGCAGCTGTTGCTTCTGGAAGGAGCCAAAAAAGGCTCACGTTGCTCTGTAACCAACTGGCGTGCTGCAACTGTCTGATACCCCACATACAAAAAATGTTGAAAGTAGGCCCCTCGTGGATGTACAGGCCGGCCTTCACTTAGGGCAGGCACGAGGCTTGCTGGGGGCCGCAGCCCAGAACATTTGCATGCCCAAGAAGGGCCTCACGAGGGCTAAATCCTCGCACGTGAATAGGCTCCCCACACCCTACGAAATATACTGTCGTTGTTTCCTGCCTTCCGTTTGCATCTCCGATACTCCACCAGTAGAGCTACTCCTAGGTTTGCCAGCACCCTGTTTCTCATGGCCGGCATTGTGACCTCCTTCCCCTGTCATATTCTCTTATTCCGAAGCGTCCATATTGCCCAGAGGACCGCTCCCCTGACCACTTCTGCAGCAAAGACCCGGTCTTTGTGTTCCCAATTAACTTTCATTACTGTGGCCAGCAGAATTGTCGTGTCGTCCTCTTCACTGACCACCCATGGGGAGGGCTCCCTCATCTCTTCTGACCACCATCTCCAGGAGTTCGATATCGCTGGGCAATGCACAAATGCATAATGACCGTACGTTCTATCCGGGGAAAAATGGTAGTTCCAATGGTTGACATGCGAATGAGATTCAATCTGCCAGGAGGCATTGCACATATCTTCAATGAACTTTTACCACCACTTCTTTTTTGCCTGCCCCATAGCCTTGACCACTGAACAGCCGGGTCTATCAGTGCGAGCTGTGAAGTTGAAGAAAAATTGGACCAGAAACTGGTATGACTATGACTTTTCCTTTCTGTTCTTTTCCCTGTCATCAGTGCCAAGGTCAAGGGCCCACTTTCCCATGCTACAGGTAGGTACAGTGGCCACACTTGTGTCAGCTTTGGGGCTTTGCGCCACTTGTGCTCGCTCCCTGGGAGATGGTCGATTCTTCAAAAAAAAAAAAAAAAAAAAAAAAAAAACACTGAGGGCATAGTCACACTAGGACTTTCCTGGATTTGTATGACCACTTTCCTGACCTGGCCTGGATGCACATGACCACAATTATGGCCTTAGAGAAGTTGAAAAAGTCCTGGGGTGAGTGTTCCCTGAGATGCCCGAGGGTCACACGACTGTAGAAGGCCAGTCCCAAGAATTTAGGACCTAGCCTACCAGCTGTACTCTCTGCTATGTTGCTTATGGTGGCCGAATGGTACACACTACAACACACATTTAACGGTCAATGAATCACTTGTGAGTTGAAAATTATTGAATCCTGATTGAGCTAGATTCATACGATAACGTTAGGAGGTATCCCCTTTCTTTTTTCTTTTTTCATGTGTACACTACTACACTCTGCTTCTCTGAGGCCGGAGTATTCACTTGTGTGCTATGGTCACTCTGTGTCGTGTCTCTCCTTTATTGGACTGCAGCGATCTTTTTTTTTCTTCATTTCTATACATACTAAAGCAAGCAAAGGGCCCGGCGACATGCTAGGTTGCGGGCCCAGTGAAATTCGTGAGAGCGGGGTGGCACCAGGAGGAGGCGGGAACCGGGCATTGGGACCGGTGCGGGGTTGGGGCCGAGGCAGAGGAGAGGCCGACGAAAATGCCCGCGGCTGGCGCGCACGAGGGGCCCACTGGGGCGAAATCCTGAGGTCCGCGCGCGGGTACGCGCGTAGTGAAAAGGGGCGCATGAAATGCAGAGGTCCGCGCGCGGGTACGCGCGTAGAGAAAAGCTGTCATGAGGCGAGTCGCGGGGTTGGAGACTTACCTGTTTGCCGTTGTGTTGCTCATCCTCTCGATGGAAATCAATCTCTCTCTCTTACAGCACGCTACGGCATGCTACGGGACGCTACGGGACGCTACGGGATGCTACGGCACTCGATTGCTCCCTCCTGCCCTAGCTCTCTCTCTCTCTCTCTCTCTCTCTCTCTCTCTCTCTCTCTCTCTCTCTCTCTCTCTCTCTCTCTCT